GTGCGTGTGCGTGTGCGTGTGCGTGTGCGTGTGCGTGTGCGTGTGCGTGTGCGTGTGCGTGTGCGTGTGCGTGTGCGTGTGCGTGTGCGTGTGCGATGAGCTAGGCGTGCCTTGTTGAGGATGGTGGATGGTAGGTTGATGGTATAGCGGTGCAGTCAAGAGTCGTAGTGAGTGACAAACGTCAGTTATGAATGCTGATGGTGGTGACTTGCTGGATGCAAACAAGGGACTCGTATACCACCCGCTACACCGCGCTACTCAACAGCATGCGCACCGCGACTCGCGACTCAGACTGCACCGCGCGTGGATGTTGATGTTTATTGTTGATTTGGCGCGCGCGATGCGCGATTAGCTTTCAAGTTTCTGATCTCTTCTTGGCGCAAACCGCGCACGCGTCGTGTGCAGGCGCGTGAACATGAATTTTGAATCTTGAATCACAATGAGACTCTTGACTCAAGACTCTTGACTCACGAGTCACAGTAACGCGATGTTGTGCTTATGAAATATGTTCAATTTGAATCGAATGATTCAAGATTTTGATTGTGATTTGGGATTTCGATTAGTCACTTTCACGTGATTTGATTCCGATTCACATTCTTGATTTGAATACGAGCTTCATATTGGTGATTCGATTAATCAAGATTACGTTACCTATTGCTTATTACGCCCACGAACGTCGTGGCGTGTTGATGTTTTGTGCAGCAGCTGCACCACGACGACCACCGCCACCACCGCTCACGCAAACACCCATCACCGCCATTCCTCATTCACATTACGCGTGCGCGACCGCGCCTGCTCGACCGCTCAGCCCGCAAAGTCAAAGTCGGCCAGTACGTTTCGTGCTGCACGAGGTCTTTCATCGAGTGCGAGTGCGAGTGTGAGTGTCAGTCCTGATCTCTGTCGAGCTGGATGGGTCTCGCGTCGCCGCATACAGTCTCCTCGGTTTCGCACGCCATCAGACCATCGCCGACCCACGCGACTAGGGACTTGTTTCAAGCCCTAGCCACTCACGGTCTATCGGTGTGCTTCCTTGTGCTCTTGCCTCGCCCTGCCCTGCTCTGCCCTGCCCAATCCAGCTTTGGTCGACGCTGACGCTGGTCTCCCTCTCTTCCTTGTCCATTGTATCCTCATGCTTCTCCCCCCCTCCTCATTCTTACCTCTCTCCATTCCTTTTCCTTGTGCCAGTCCTACCCCGCTCTGCTCAGCTTGCTGCTGTGTACATATGGACCACACCGAGCCGATGCGCTGATCACCATCACGGCCAAGGCAAAGTCTGCCTCGGCATGGCTACGGCATCGTTCAATACACGCATTCGGCGACAGTCACGGCCGCGCATAATCCAATGAGCGAGACTGCAATAGAAGCGATGTCAGAGGCAGGGCTAGGCTTGGAATCCCCGGAAGCCCTCTACTTTCCCAGCTTGGGTGATCTGCAAGACGCGGCCAAGGGTCAGCAGCATCAACAAGCAACGGTGGCCACAAAAGGCGAGGAGTCAGCATTGTCTCCTGACCGCATTCACAGCAGCCACGTTCTCAAGCAGCTGGAGAAGCTTGCAACTGAATTGACCACCACTGGCTTGTATGCGGACTCATCTGCTGCACAACAGCAGACCTCGTCTACAGGGCCATCATCCTCCACTTCAGCGCGCTCACATCCCCCACGCCAATCAGTCCCTCACCCGAACTCTTCACCATCTACCACCCTGTCCCCTCCCCCAACCACCGCAGACGACATCAGCCGAGGACTGCTACACCATGCCGTACCCAAGATTGATCGCAGGCCTTTGTTGGTAGAGTGGAGACCTGGAGTGCAGGGCGATCGATGTCGTCGACTTGCGCAAAGCGCTTTGCGCGCCAAGCCGGTCCAGGCTGCCATCGAAGAGATATGTACGACGGCAAAAGGTGCGAGGGACGAGACTGCGCTCGCGGTCGCCATTACCAAGCTCCTCAACCACTTCGGTATTCAGCTACAGCTGCTGCTAGCTGCATCGCTCTCGACGTGCGAGCGTCCTTCTGCCCCTTCGACAGCTGAGCAGCCTACATTGGGGTCTGCACATGCACCGACTCAGACGGATGCGGCAAGATTCGCCGACTCGCCCGTTCGCGCTGTTGAGCGAGGCAACTTGTCAGTGACAACCGCCGGTCCAGAAAGCAACAGGCCCGACATTGTTCTTCAAGCCAAGCCTGGTAAGGTCATGTGTGCGGATCTTTGCGACGCACACAGCACTACAGGCGATGGCGCATCGGACGCGCAGGGGCAGGGCGGTCCACATCCATGGTTATTCTACGTAGCCGCCGTAGAGGTCAAATTCAAGAAGAGCGATTTGCTTGCTACCCGCACGGTGGGCCAGATTTTTCGATATGGGGTGAGTGCGATGATCGAGGATGGGGATCAAGAAGCGGCGGTGAATGATTGCGACTGACATACCATGGCGCTGCTGCACATCACTCGCCGCTTGCCTCTCAGCGACAACTTCTCGTTGGCCACCCGTTCGCTGAGCGTGTGCACGTGCTATGTTGGGCGGGACTGAGGGTGCAAGTCTGGCAATTCAATGCCAACGCAGTCTTCGTCTCTCCGATCATCGAAATTTCGAGGAGCACAGCGCTTCAGCAGAGCGGCGATGCAACAGCCCACGACTCCCTAGACGAGCTCGGCAAGCTCCTCTTCCTGCTCGTCTCTGGTCAAGAGACGGTGTTACCGCGGTGGACACCTCTCATTCCTATCGCGAAGCAATCACTCGAGCATATCGGCTTGACTGTCATTGATCGCGAAAAGTTGAAGCTCATCAACGTGCGTTACACTCTCAATGGCTCCCGAACTGTGCTCTTCGGTACTCCGTTTCTCAACGTCAGACTCAAGGACGCGGGGACACAGGCAAAGAGAGTAGTACAGCAACTTGACGAGCGCGACCTCTGGGTGTTCTTCAAGTGCTGCTGGCTCCCCGAGCGGCTTGGGGACCACGAGCACTCGATTTTAGAGCGCTTGAACGGTCGTGGCGGCGCACCAACGCCTTTAGGTTTGATCTCTCTCCCTTGGAAGACCAGCTCCCGTCAGCGACTACCAAGTCAGTCGGGCGAGAATGACACAGCGCCTTTGTCCGCATACGTCGTCGTCTTCGCCCAGCACCGAGGACATCACATCCCGTACGATGCCGATGTGAGCACCAAAGCGAGCATATTTGCTCAACTGTCACGTCAGTTGCTGGCATATGCAAAGCTCAGGTTCCACTACCGAGACCTGAACACGGGAAACGTCCTCATGAGACACGGTACCTGTGGTGAAGCACTGCTCGTCCTTGCCGATCATGGCAACGTTCGTCAAAGCAACCGTCCACGCCGCGGAAAATTCCACACAAGGAAGGAAAGGAAAGGATCGCAGGGACCCTTAGAGGATGTCAAGGAAAGCCTGGCGCACATCATTGAGGACGACGCTCGCTCCATCAACCCGATGTTTGAACCAACGACCTCAGCACTAGCCACCAAGACATTGGGTGATTACAGGCTTACGCTACAAAGTATCGAATCCATCCAATCTGAGCTGGAAGGAGACCATTTGACAACTGGGGAGATTTTGCAAGAAACAGGCATGCTGGAACAGCTGCAAGCCGACGGTCGCCGGCTCTATCGAAAAATGTACACTTTGGCTCACCGATACTGCGATGACCTCGAGTCGGCGCTATACGTCTTTTTGTGGCTCGAAGTGCCCGCCCCTTTGCAGAAATATCTCGAATTGCAGCTTCGCGATCCGTCCGTCAAGGATCGCAATTGGAGCCAAACTGCAGCGTGGCTAACGCTTTGCAGAAAGCTTCTCGACAAGCACGACAAGTGCGTCTTGATTGGACTACTGAAAATGCGTAGCATCATATTTGAGGCTCAGCAGGCGGCACGGGTAGCTCTTGAAAAGTATTACGATGATCAAATCGCAGAGGATGTGGGCCACAACGACGAGGATATCGAAAGCTTGCTCAGAAAGAAGCCGGAAATGGATCTGACTGAGGAGGAGGAGAGGTGCATGGGCATCGATGTGCCCACTTGTTATTGTGAAATGATTGGTGAGTGCATTGGCCCTTTGGCATGCGAGTTCTCGTATCGTTTGTCGATCTGCTGCATTGCACGCGTTTGCAGTGGCTGCCGAGCAGCCGATCTGAGGCCTGCGAGTCAGCCTATGACGAGCGTTGGAAAGGACGTCAAGTCCCGCAGGCGCTCGTGGGCGCAGCGCAAGGACGCGCTGTGGGTTTGTGTGATGCTTACCTCTCGCCTGCTCCATCTTCTCTGCTCTGCGACGATTCCGCCCCCCCCCCCCCCGCGGCTTCCGCGCGTTACAGAATCTGGGTCTGAACGAGATCGGATCCTTGCCCTTTTGAAGCGTCCCCTGGATGTTGATGATAGCGACGAGTCGTTTGAAAGGTCCAATTCGACAGCTTCTGGAAGCGACGAGGAGTCTCCAGCACCCAACCTCACGTTGAAAGACTCGAAGCACGATTCGAGTCTGTCGGCTCGGCTTCATGCCGCCTCGACCACTTCCGAGTGAGCAGATCGGATCGATCAAAGAGGAATGCGGCACGCTCGCGATACTTTTCGCTATCTTGTCCTGTAATTTGAGACGAAGCTGTGGCCCGAGTTGGTGAGACGAAGATTCCAGACGGTATGCGCTACAGGGGCTCGCTCACGAGGCGCAACAGGCGCAAACACCGCGTCAACTTTGGGCACGCGGAGCAGCTTGCCCCTAGCGGCACTTCCAGATTCCTGCACCTCTCCAGCTGAATGCCTACGCATCCACACGCTTGCCCGTGTCTGGCATCCACGCTCTGCACTTTGGGCCTGCCTTCAACAGGTTTCCAAGCACATTCCGCGAATTCTCACGATCATCAGAACTCCGTGAGACTTGGGCTCAAAGACGTTCTCAACAACGAGAGAAAGCAAGACCCACTATTACTGTAGCTCCTATTCTCCACTAACCGGGACATTTCAAGAACCTCGAGACATTTTCAATGTTGTAACAGTAGCAGAGATACACCACGCAATCAAGAACGCGAGTGCTTTGTCACCCCTTGCCGACATCGAACGGCAGTGACTGCCGCGCTGACCCAGGGGCCTACGGACATCCCAGAGCCGAGGGAATCTGCATGTCTGCATAGCCAGCCAGCACCGGCGGACATTTTGTCGATTATACTAATGAATTCATTTCTTCAATGCCATTTGGACGAGTCGTTGGAGATCTTCGTAAAAGCCCACTTGTCCTTCTCTTTCTCTTGAAGCGACTTGATGCAGTCCGGCCCAACATCTCGCATGCTGTTGTAGCGCGACGGGCGCTCGGGCGGCGTGTGTGAGCAGCGAGCGCATCATATATATGGACGCATGCAGTCCGAACGAGTAAAAGCAGACGGGTGACTCACTCTTCGGTGTAGCAGAGCGACTCGTTGCTCTTTTCATCGTAGACGGAATAAGCGCCGCTGTAGGAGAAGCAGACGTCGTTCCAAGCTTCGCGAATCGGAATGACACCCATGCCATCCGGATGCTTGTCCGCCCCTGGGGGGCCGCACGCACACACACAAAAAAGTGAAAACTTTGTTCATAGGACCGTACATTGTGCAATCCACTCACTGTAGGAATATGCGGGATTGGGCCACTTTGTTTCTTGAGCTACGACGAGTGCCAAGCCGAGAGCAAGTAGGAAGGCGGTGATCGCGAAGAACTTCATTTTAGTCCTGCGTTTCGAACTTGGCTGGTGTGAGAGTTGTTGCTGTAGAATTTTAATCTATGGCAAGTGGGTATCGAGCGCTCTCAGAGTGAAGCGCGATGGATTATTGAGGAAGGCGGGGTCGAACAATCCTGAAGAGGTCCATCTTGCACCTTTTCGTAGTGCACGCAAATCACGAAGGATGACGACTGGTCCGCCACAAAGTGCTACCTACAATCTCTGGTGCCTGGTCAAACACTTTGCAAGCGTGTTTTCCTGGCGCTCAGTGTTTGCTCGCTCGGCCGAACAGTGCCTTTGGCGGACATGTTTGCGTCGTCAATGATGAAGACCTCTTTGTCACTCAGAGCTGCAGTCTCTGGTGGCTGGTCAAACACTTTGCAAGCGTGCTCTTCTGGCGCTCGGTGTTTGCTCGGCTAGACAAAATGCCTTTGACAAACATGTTGGCGATGAAAGCTGAGTACATCTGCTCTGGAACTTTCCGTGCTCTTTGGCCAAGCCAAATCAGGGGCGTTTGCGGGCAACGAGCGCTGTGCAGAGATGCGAGAGCAAGATAAAAGTGCGCAGCCTGACCTCGCAGTCGTGCGTGTTGCCATCAACACTTTCAGGGACAACGGCATCTGCAGCCACAACACCCGGTGAAATTGCTGAGTGAACCCAGCGTTGGCGGTACACGTCGAAAGGGCAGGCGAATCGGCCGGTACGTTGATTTCAGACCTCTGTATTTGGTCAAAACTGCCAACGCCGACCGTTTTGCGCCAAAAAAGCGGATGCTGCGCCAAAGAGAAAAAGACGCAAATGTGGAAGAGGGATGGCCGTCCAAGCTGACAGGCATCAGCTCGCGGTCGACGCGTGCATTCACGTTTGTTCGCGAGAGCCGTCACATCAGCGATCAGCGCCGTGTCGCGGCACATTCGTGATTGTAATCATTGCCGTGGCGCAGCACAACATTCCTCCGCCGTTCGCTCACGTCTCTCTCGTGTAAGCACCGCCTTGCGTCTGCGCTGGTTCGCGAAACAACGCAAAACATGTACACACGAAGTTCAACCATCTTACGCTGACTTCCGAGACAGCTTCGAGGGCCCGAGGTGAGGCATGCGGAAAGTGACCACTTCCAGAACGCTCGAACAAGGTACGTCCCACTCCTCCTTCATCTCAATGCCTTGACTCTGGGCTCAGCGTCGCACTCTTGTCTGCTGTCACCCGAGATCTAGACACTCTATATGCAGTCGCCTCGAGCACATTTGTCGGTCTTCTGGAACCTCGCAGAGGTAGGATGATCCCTAATCCGAGCGGAAGGCTGTTCGCGAGGTAGAATTCCGTCTCGCTAAACGCCTCATGCGCCCCGGTCTCGTAATTGCGCCATACTTGTCCGCCGTAAGTCTCCAGCACATTGGATCTGCGCATTCTTTCCGAGTCGCTCACGCAGTTCACCACTGTGAACTAGCGCTAGCAGTAGAGTGCCGGCAAGGAGAGCTTTGAATCCAGTGTGACGCCCTCGGGGTTTGCCACAGAAGCACTATACCAACACACCTTGATGGCGATTCCGTGCCGTACGAGATCGCGCAACATTCCGCTTGTATCGCGGAAAAAGAGAATTCAGGCACAGCGACCGTCTCGCAAAGTGCAAGCGGTCTGCACATGCGCCTGATACGCCACAAGGTCGTTTGCTCAAATTTTGGGGGGCTGTGTAGGGACCAGCTCACGAGTGTGTGGGATTGAACAGTCCCCATCTTCGATGCGGGATGCTTGGTGACCGCAAGAGAGGAGCGTATAGTATGGAGAGACATTGGCCACGAAAGTATATAAGAGGACCCGATTGACTTGAGACAAAGCTTCGCAGACCAAGAAGAAAGAGACCCTCGACCAAAAAGCCCAACCGAAATACAAGCAACACATTTCAAAAGCCCAATAGCCTAAAGCCCGACGAGATCTACAGCGCTATGAGACTCTTCATCTCGACTTGCACCTTACTTTTGGCCTCGAGCGTCACCCTGGCGGTGAAGCCAGCTCCTGATCAGGTAATCTTCTACGGTACGTCGCGAGCGCAACGACCGAGTCTCTGTGAAACCTAAAGCTGAGCAGTATTCTGACTCTTCCATCCTACAGCTGTTGATAATCATCCCGACCAATTGAATGCGGACGGAGTCCGAGAGGCATGGAAGAAACCGTGCACCGAGCAATTTGGTGGTGACTATTATGACTACGACGCCCCCACAGAGCTGGCGTGGTGCTACAGTGGCCTGTAAGTCTACCACGTGCTTGATCATGCAGGCGCATTCCTTGAAGACTGAGGCCTCCAACTTCACAACACAGCACCGACAAAGGACCTTTGGTGGTTCAGTGGCTGCAAAATCAACAAAAGGACCAGTGGACCTTCACCACGATCGATCAGCGCGGTTAAATGTTGAGAATTTCGAGCGCATTGGCACAATGTTGCACAACCATCACCTCGCCACCAGCGAGCATGGTCGCTCGAGTTGCAGACAACGTGAGGGCAGCCCAATTTGTGCAATGACATGCTGTTTGCCAGATACATAGTGGGCCCGCGAATGCTCTTGAAAGACCCTTGGTGCATGGCAGTAGTATTCGCATGCGCGCGCGCAACACAAACTGGGCTTCGGATTTGCGATGCGCTAGATTGTGACCGCAATCCCCGTCTTTCTGCTGAGAGCCTGTTCGTCGCTCAGACCGTCGGCGCGCGCGCGCAATCGGACGGACGGACCGCTTCCTCATCGATGCGAAATGGTACCAATGCAACGTCGATGTTGCGCGCTGCATTTGGCATGCCACTAGTTGTGAGCTCGAATCTTGACCTTGCACGAGCGGCCAACTTGTCAGGCAGCGGGCAGTGCGAGGAGTCAAGTGTGGTTGCACACAGAACACTCTTATTCGAGACTGGACCAGGATCTCGTCACGGCGTCAATGAGACTGGGGTATCGTTGCTCCTCAGCCACTTTCGGCGGCGCGAAGCAAATGAGATCTGTCCGGGTCATCCTAGCGTAACATGTGCGCAAAAGGTTTGGCGACTCTTGCTCGCTGAGCAATAGCAGCCCATCAATGCCCGCGAACTCTCGACTTTGCAAAGGCGCACGCACGCAGGGGTCGTGCACGTTTCAGGGAATGCAGGTCTGCCTTGGCTCGACGGAACGGCACTGGACATCCGGCCCATGACGTGGTTCCTGGTCGACGGGCCGTGTAGATCGAGCAATGTCCGGCATTCACCTGGCATGGAGCGCGCGATGGGCAGCGACTCAACACCTGCCAGATGGAGTCGCAAGGACTTCTACCGAAGGTTGGCGTCTAGCCGTCACACTCTGACACCAAACGCACGTCCTTGCAGAAGATCGTGGGGGGACTAGAGCGAGGTGTCTGGATCGGGCCAGATGACGAGTCGTCTCGGCTTGGATGGCAGCTCGACGAGGAGATTTGCGCCTTCCTCGATGGCACCTTTCGTGTGAATGCGCTGGCCCTGTAGCACAACCATGAAGGTACTAAAGGGGGCCCTTCGAGACGTGTTGCTCGATGGGCATTCTCCGTTCTCAGTATTGACCCAATCAGCAGCAGACCTTCGTATTCCCAAGCCGTTCGAACGGCCGACCATCGAACGGTAGCATCCAACACACCGTCAGCAAGCAAGGGCTCTTCATTGGCAACCGATATACAGCGGCCCCGCCTGCATCGCATAAGTCATGCGCATCAACTATCTCTTGCTGGCGACTGCAGCGCTCATGCTGCTCGCGACTTCCGTTCAAAGCGCCGCAGATGCCGAGGGTAGCGGCAACCATGCGAGCCGCGGTGACCAGGGAAGCGGCCGCATTCCTCCAAAGTGGGCCAAGCAGATACCCCCCATCCGTGGTTCTGCCCCGTCTAGACCACCTGGCAAGGGGAACGGAGCTTCGTCTGGCAGCATTGTCACCCCACCTCCTTCGCCTCCCCGTCGCGTCAAGGCTAGACCGCCACCGCGCGTTTACTGTGAGTGCTGCGACGACACGTGCGACTCTTTATCATCGGTTGCAGTGCTCGCTGAGCGATCACGTCTCTGTTGCTCCCTTCTCCTTAGGGATCACCCAGCGCCCAGCTCGTTGGACCGATGCGCAAGTAACGCGCACCTGGGTCGTCGCATGCAAGTCGGCGGGAGGAAGAGCTTCCGTGTACGACGTAGCACCCATCAAGGTGGAGTGTGTGGACGAAAAGTGAGCGCGAATGACGGAGCTTTTGAGCCGCACGTCCACCTCCGCTGCTCATGCCTGCCTGCCTGCGCCCGTCCAACGGCACACCCTTCTCCTCGCCCACGCAGCGGGTTCAGCAAAGCCGACATGGTCGTCAAGGCTCTTCTTGCTGCCAGACCGTATCAGTGGACCTTTGCTCCACATTGAAGGACCTTCCAAGATGGTGCGCGCGCGCGCGCTCAAAGACGGCTGTCCGCACAGAAGCTTGCCGCTCGCACCGTGGTCCCTCTTCTTCGAGCAGCTTGCTGGAGCCTTTCAACATCCACATTTGACATTCCGGTGTCACGTACGGCGTGGAAGTCGGATGACCGCGGGAACGGACGTGCGGCTTTCGTTTCGACGTGCGCACCATAAGCGATTGGCCATATGACGGGGGCCAGGCAACATCTCGACCGTACCCATCCATGCCTCCCTCCCTCTTGCAGCGAAACATGCACGCGCGTACCCTGTGCGAAAGTTCGTGCAGGTCCAGGCGAGTTTGTCCCGCTGCAACCGTAATCCTTTCCACTCCAATGCAATCCACAATGCGCACCATTCACGATTGCTTCTATAGTAAGTGTGCAATCGTGAGCGTGCTGTGAAGATGGTGGTGTACGCATGCAGAAAGGCACTCGATCGCGATCAAGCGCTCGAAGGGCACGAATTCCCCTCTGAGGCCGCGCGAGGGCGCAATCTTGAATGTGAATTGTGAATGATGGCGTCGTGCTTATTATACAACAAGGTGCAGTCACAGTGCTGTTTGGAGGCCCTTTGCTCGCTGGTGCCTTTATGGAAGTCGACTTGACTTTCGCTGACCTTGCACGTGCAGTTGTGAGTCAAGAGTGCTTGCAGTCAAGAGTCACCAATCAGAATCAGAATCAAGAATGGCTGCATGGGGCCTGCGGGACCTGCGGGACCTGCGGGGCCTGCTCAGCCGCCGCCGTGCATCGTCGAAGCAGGGTTTTGGCGCGCTAGCGTCTTGCATGGCGGATTCAATTCTTGATTGAAAGGTCCTCCAAGATGTTCGATATTCGTAATTCGTGATTCGTGATGATATGTGTGACTCACATTCACGATTCGTCATTGTTATCTTGGGGCCCAGCGAAGCTCACAGTCACGTTCTTGACAATCCAGCTCCCAGTCCACGTACGCGTACGCGTGGATGTGTAGATGGAACTCATGACTGCATCCACACCACCACCACCAACAACGTCCACCCAGCTGCGAGCCACGCCGCCCCTCACAGAAGATGCGCATCGTTCGGCGATGCGCATACACACGATCGACAAGCCCGCAAGTGTCCACACACCATATCACGCAATGGCTACAGATGCCAGCAGTACGCGCCTGGCAAGCTCTCCGCAGCGAGACCACGAAGAAGAGGAGGAGGTGGAGGAGGAGGAGGAGGAGGAGGAGGAGGATTACATGTCGCTCGCATTCGTCTCGCAGCCAGTCACTTCGTCTGGAAACTCTGCACGCACGCAACCCCTCTCGCGCACCAAGCCCAAAGGTAGCAGTGCGGCAGCAGGCGCACGGGAACGAGAGCTGCTCGCCCGTCAAAAAGGTCTTCATCGGTCCTTGTTCGCTGCTCGGAGCGGCGAGGAGTTGCAGCACGAGGGAGATGAGGTGGGGAGCGCGAAGCGGGAGAGCAAGGCGGTGAGGATGATGAAGGGCATGGGCTGGAGCGAGGGCAAAAGCTTGGGGGCTGCATCGAGCGGCAGTGCGCTGGGGCAGCACATGGCAAGAGGGGAAGCGACCGCCTCAAGGAGGAGCGCATCTCCCCAGCCACGCGAGGCAACGACTAGAGGCACAAGCGAAGGCCAATGCGGAGAAGCGCAGAGTCTCGAGCTTTCAGCTTCTCATCGCGATGCAATGCTCGAGCCCATCCGGCCAGACGAGCGGTGGGCGGGCGGATCCAAAGGTGGCATCGGATCCCTCTCTGTGCTTCAATCCGTAAAGCGCATATCTCAAGCCATCAAGCGCGCAGCAGAGGGAAGCGACGTCCAAGGCACGTCGAGCCAGGACTTTGAAGCGAGCTTGAGGGGATACAGGGATAGGGTGGGCGGCAAGCAGCAAGCGCTTAGACTGGAGAAGCTGATGGAATCGGCCAGAAATACGACAGAGGAGTTGGATGGCAGGGCAAATGTCGAGGTGAGTGTGGAGGCGATCGCGTGAATGGCTAGGTGTCGCTTGGACCGAAGAGCATGCAATCTGACAGCATCTCGATCTGACGTCGGCTATCCTCGAACGCCCAGTACTCGCCCTTGTGGCTCGATGCCCGCTGGATTTGGATGCCAGATGCTGCACCGTCTGAAGCGCAAAGTGTGATGGAGCAAGCGTTTGGGGAAGCCGAAGGCATGAAAGGGGACCAGGGCGATGGTTCGGACGAGCAAACGACGTGCGTCCATCAAGCACGCCTGCGAGAGGCACAACGGTGGGCCAAGCTGGATGCGAGTTCTCGCCCCTTTGTGTTCGCGCTGATTAGCATCGAGCTGATACCCACGCCTTTTCGCCTTTCATCGACAACCTCAGACACCCGCTCGCCTGCAGATCACTCTCGATCACCTTCGCAGAGCGCACAACTACTGCCTCTTTTGTGGTTGCGCTTACGACGACTTTGATCAGCTGCAGAAGCTCTGTCCGGGCCTGACGGAGGAGGATCACGACTGAGAGGCCAGGATGGCTGATCCAAATTTGCGAGGCGCCGTCACGTAACTCATAGTCATAGTCGTGGCTCACGTGTACTGTATTGTCACTCACATCCCAACTCTTTGTAGGACTTGTTGCGCGCACGGGTTGAGAAATAGGCATTGCAATGTCTGGAGGGAAGCTTGACGTGTGCGAGGTATCTATACACATGAGACGTGGTGGGCACGTTGCAAGCCTTTCGTTCTGTTCCGCATCTAAGCTTTCGTGTCGATCTTGACGTACTCCTTGTCCTTTTCTGCATCGCTCGCAGCGCTATCGGCTTGCGTGGCTTCAAACACTGCACCAACTATGCCTAGCGCTTGTGCCCGCAACCTCTGCGTCTCCTTGGTAACGCTCTGATCGTACAGCACCCTCTCCGTCACTTCGCGAATGACCGACTCCACTTCGAGTTTGGCGCCCTTGAACAGCGCCCGCATGCTGTCGTGCGAGTCGCCAGGAGCGTCGCGTGAGTACATACCAGTGGCGCTGCGCTCCCAACCATCTCGATGGGCACTGTCCCCACGACTCACCCTTTGCTTGCCGCCTGGTCTTCCAGCTCCTTTTTGCGCTCCTCGGTGATGCCCTACGAGCGGCGAGCGCGACTCGTCAACAACCTCTGACTGCTGCTAACACGCTCCAGACACTCACCTGCTCCTCCGCCTTGGCCAGCTCTTCAAACACGCTCTTGAGCTCCAAAGCCGCTCTGACGGTGCTGACAGTCTCCCTAATGACGTGCATGGAGCTGCTGGCCGAGTGATACAGCCCGCCGATGCCCCACAGCATACCCGTTGCTGCAAGGTAGTGCTTGCTCTTGCTAGAGTATACAAAGCCGACCGTCTGCAGCAGCTCGACACCGTACGACTCCGTCTTGAGTTCTTCCGCTTCGATCTTTGTAATCTCCCGGAAGGAGTCTGCAATCTGTCGTGCAAGCGCATCGTCGCCAGCATTTCTCACGCTCTCCGTGTACACGCTGAGCTTCCTGATCAGATTCTCGGCAAGCTTGGACACCCTCTCTTCCCGCTGCTTTGCCCTCTCTTCCTCTTTTGCCTTTTCCTTGGCCGTCTTTGCAGCTTTGGCAGCTTCCTTTGCGGCTTTTTGTTCTGGAGTCAAAGAGGAGCCTGGTGCAGCTGCAATGGCATTGGAAGGGCCACCGTTCGCCTTGTTCTCCTCCGAAGCCACCTGCTGCTCCAGCTCGTCCGGATCTTGCTGCAGCGCCTCCTTCATGTCTCGGCCGATGGATATGGTGCCGATCTTTGGGAGACGCGCCTCGCGCTCAGCCAACTCGACGTGGACGCTCGAATTGCGGCGTTCCATCACTCACGATATCTTTGAAGCGCTGACCGCCAAACAGGCTACCGAACACTTCCTCTGGATCCACGAACCCATCCTCAGGCACCAAGCCAGGCGTTGAGGGTCCAAATTCGTTGCTGTGGTGCGCACCGAGAACACGTTAGCATGCTCACGTATCGCATCGCTCGCTCTGCTCACTACTTGTGTCGCAACTCGGCATCTGAAAGCACAGAGTAGGCGGTTGCTAGCCTTTTGAACCTCTCTTCTCCTTCTGGGTCGTTTGGATTCTTGTCTGTATGAAATGGTCGGCAGCGGACATGAGATTCGATGCGGGACGCTATTGAGCGCGAGCTTTGGGGGTGCTTACCAGGATGCAGCTTGATGGCCAGCTTTCGGTACGCTTTTTTGATCTCCTCTGGCGTGCACGTCGGCGAGACGCCGAGAATATCGTAGCTGAGCAGCGTGCGCAAGGGGATGGAGTCAGCTAGAGTCTGCGCGCATAGAGTGGGCGGCTGGAAGCGTGACGAGTGCGCATACATGGGCCATGTTGTGCTCCGCAAAAAGCATCGGATGAAGCGCACTGGACCAACGCGCGGCAGTCGTTTGCACAGATGAAAGCTGATCGCAACGTCCTGTCGCGCGGGCTCCTCCTCAGCCCCCACTCGCAGCACAGCGCAGCATCACTCACTACTCGGTATCGAGCGGCTTCTCATCCGTTCCGATTCTTCTCCTCCTCGCCGCATCCTTTTGGCCCGACCCGCTGGCGCCGGCACCACCGCCACCGCCATCCTTGCCTGCTCTCGTCTCCCTGACTATCCTAGCAGCGCCGGGCGGTTCGAATCTGCCTTTGCATTTGCAGCAAATCACCTTGAACGTCGTCTCGGTGGCCGGCAACTCTCGAAGCGCAGAGGGCTGTGGTGGGAGGTACTCTATGGCGCTGCCGCATTGAGGGTAAGGGCAGGTGATGTTAGTGTACGGCTCCTTTGGGCGGGTGGGCAGCACCAGCGCAGATTGCGAAGTCGACATGGTAGGTGGGCGAGGACACGAGTACTTGCTCTGTCGCGGCGTGCACAATCCACACCCGTGACTGAGTCGTGACGTGAATGCACCACAGACTTTGATGTGGTGGACGTGAGGACGAGGGGCGAGCACCAGCGAGCAAGACGTCAAAGCCCTCGCACGCTCTCGTAGCCGTTGGCGGTCGCGCAATCGCACTATCGCGCCCTCCACGCGCGAGGCCCCATCGGCACGCGCGTGCAACTCTCGACTTTTTTGGTCGTGTGCGCGCGTGCGTGCGTGCGTCCGAGGTGAGTTGGGCTTCATCTTGCGCTTACCCGCGCTCTCGCGCCATGTGGGGTCACGTGAAAGCTTGTGATGCAGGGGTTCTGGGCAAAACAAGACCCACAAACGAGAGGCGGGATTCGTGATTGTGAACAACGACAAACTGATCATGGCGCGATCATGGGAAGGTGTGTTGCTCTTCCCGACCGCAGCGAAGGGCCACAAGGGACGACCTCGGTCAATCCAGTGCAGTTGCGGGCTGTCAATGCCGAGAGATGTGTGCAGGTCCCGCAGGCGTGTTATCGAGCGCCCTGCTCGAGCAAGGCGCGACACCTCAGCCAAGACAGCAGCCATGTGACACTTTCGGGGATGAGGTTCATCGCAGACGTGTAGGATCGAGCATAGGATTCATCGCAGACGTGTAGGACCGAGCATTCGGTGCAAATACAGACGAGCGGGTGACCTCAACAGATGTGAAGAACAAGCGCTGTGAGGAGCACGACGAGGAGCAACGGCAAGCAGCCCGTCTTTGAAGCTGCTGGGACGCCGTTGCTGCGGAGTGCCCCTGGACTGGAAGCGTTGCCGCTAAGACGTGCTGTAAGAAGCACATCGGTGCCTGGTAGAGAGGAAGCCTTGTCACCTGCGTAGAACTTGCAGGTACGAGGCGGCGTAGGATGGGTGAGCGGGCGACGAACGCGGGTTTTTGGATCGCTCGGCCCCGTGCTCACTTGCAGATCGCTAAAGTAGAGTGCGCTGTCAGACGTCGCTGCATAGTCTGCAGTGGAGCCACCAAAGAAGGAGGACTGGGTGGAAGCGAGCGCGGTTAGCTTGGAGAGGCCCACGAGCGTCGCCATCCCTCTCACTATGCTTACAAAGAAGATCTTGATGTGCGATCGTCAGCGAGTCGCGTCAGAACGCGTCAGCAAGAAGAGAGGCATCTCATGCGCCGTGACAAGAGGCGATGCATCGGAAGCGTCTCGTCCACTCACCTTGTCCACCCACTGCGCCTTTGCGGTTCCATCGACGTCGGGTTGACTCTGTGCTTCTCCTCCACTTCCGCCGCCCTTTCCGGTCTTGACCGTGGGTACCGTTCCAGTGCGAAGCAATAGTCCTTCCTCGGCGATGGCTAGATTGGAGTCTGCCCAGAGATATATTGCTCCATTTGCTCGATCAGGAGCAGAATTCTGCACCACCAAGAGGGTGATGGACGTGGCGCTGGGCAGGACGATACGGCAAGCTCGTCAGCTTCTCGCAACGGCGACTCAACCCAGACAATCCACTCACGACCCAGCCTTGAGCTCGAAACTTCCTCTGTTCATGCTCGTGCCGTAATCATCGTTGCACAAGAGCTCCTTGTTCCTTCCACAAGGATCATATGCATCACCAGATGCATCCTTGCTGCTCAGCACATCGGTTGGAAAGTACGCATAAGCTTCGCCCTTGCCGTCTTGCCTCCACATGGCTCTCACGCTCCAGCAACTAGCTCCCACCCCATCTCTACTCCCGCCCGAGCATCCGTCCGTATTGGCATCCCATTGCGGTGCGCTGTCCTCGCTTGAAGTTGCGAGCTTACCGACTGAAGAGTACAGTCCAGGCAGTTTGCCGCCCTTGACAAAGTCAAAGCCAATGGGCACGTGAACCGTGTAGCGCAGGAGCAGCACCTGACGGGTCGGGTCAGAGGAATGTTGCATGGCGGACGTCACATACTGCGGCAAGGTTGCGGTGCTGTTTGGCGATGGAGCGAACGGTTGCGCGTAAAACGATGTGCCGCCTAGCGGGGCGTCTTCGCTGCTCGAATCTGATCCAGCTCTACGCGGCAGACCCAAAAAGATGCTTGGGTCCCTTCGCTCAGTCTTCATTTTGCTATTGGCAGCGCTGGGGGCATAAGAGCCTTTGGGGTAAGTGACCTTGAGCGCGGCGCGGGGAGAAGCGGTTGTCGCGTTGCTGGCGTTGGCGGGCAGGGCTTCGAACTCGAGGTTCTGCGCGCCGACGAGCACCCTGCCCGAGTACAGATTGAGATTTTGTGACAGCCATTCAGAAGCATCGGACGACACTTCTGCTCGCTTGATTGCAGCTTTGAGCGTCGACGGGGCAAGAGCGGCCTCTACTGGATCCACGACGGGAGCAGGAAAATCCCACGTCCAAGCTTGCGAGTCGAGTCCATATGCGTCGATGAGGGCGTCTAGACCCGGTGCGGAAGCCGATGAGATGGGAATAGCGCCGTCTGCTTGCTCGCCCGAGGTGGCGTTGAGCACGTCGGAGCCATCGAGCAGCTGTCTCGCATCCAGTAAAGGTTCGACTCGCGGCGCATCGCGGACGCTGTTGCGATGAGCTCGTCGTCCGCCAGACTGCGTCGAGATGAGTGGACGAGCGACGATGTGCGGCGCTGCCACCGCGAGGACTATCGACAGCACCAGAAGCATTCCTCCACAACACCTCGCCTTCTTGCTGCCCATCTCTCGCGCGGTCGTGTCGTCGATTAGGCGTGCGGATGGATGTCGATGTGGGTGCCTCCTATTCCCAGCGCGAGTACGGAGAGGCCAATGAATAGATGGATGGTAAGCGTAGATGTCACTCGGGTGCGTAGACTCAAGACGTGCGAGAAAGAGGAGACGTAATCGTCACTCGCGGTGATGCCGGCATCTTGTCACAGTCGGTAGTGGAAGGGATTGTGTGCCGTTGGAGCGTTGACCCTTTCGCACCATGCCGCTGCTAGACGACGGCTGCGTCGAGCACAGTGTGTAGACCAGAGCTGTCCTGCGTTCGTGACCATCAACGCGCTGGCGAGCATGATTGGTAAAGCGCGGCGCGGATGAGCACCAAGTCACAACTGACCGTTGCCGGTGAAGGATGTTGAGGATGGCCGTTGACTCTGCAAGGCGCTTGCTATAGCTGCTGCTTGCTCTCAATCGCTCCAGAGCGCGCCACAACATGCATGCATGCACGCGCGCGCACCGCCTCAACGGTTCCCATGCATGCGCTCATCGCGTTCGCTAGCGAGGCATGTCCCTTGCGCTGCTGCACGAGAGCCGTGGTGAGGGTTGGCAGCTCTCGTCTCAGTCGGGCTCAAAGTCAGCTCGTGACTCAGCACGCATACTTGGTCCCGATCCGGCGTGTAAGGATGGCAAAAATCCGTCAGTAGGCTGGCTATTACGGAAACGCAGGGCAAAGAGGCACTTACACTCGCCAGTAGCGCATATTTGGAGGCTCAATGTAGTTGTGAAGCATGACTGAGGGACTTGGCAGTCCTTGATCCAGAAGCATCTCGTTCAAGATTTGCTGGGTTCAAAAAATCAGCTTGCCATTTGCTGTCCATTCGCTACAGGATGAGGGTTAGGGTTATCAAGGTCTCTGGAATTAGGGTTGGAGATATTTCAGGATGTTAGTGCATGTAAATGAAAGGGCTGTGCAGAGAGAGAATTATTCACTTGATGAGGGTTAGGGTTACAAGGGGGTCCCCAATAGGGTTTTTGGAGTTTGTGTTATAGGCATCTAGAGAGGGCTGAGGGAAGCCAGCTGGTGAAGCAGCGCCCAAAACCCTAGAGATTTGACGGCGTGAGGTCCATCTAACCTCAAGATGGTCTGGTTAGAGCGCCTAACTTGGGCATCTCTGAGAAAAGTGTTTGTTCTTTGTTACAGTGACTTACATGAGGCTGTGGCATGAGACTTTCTGGAATTGGATTGCACAAAAGTCTTTCAGGGA